TAAATAGTCCTTTAAAAATCAGGTTCCATTATGTGCCCTTAAAATGAAAAATAGTTTAAAAGAAAATCGTGCTAACAAGAGGTCTACTTTCTAGAGTATATAAATGACTAAATACAGAATATATTAAAACAGCACAACTGCTTGTCCACTCTGTGGAAAATATTAAAATTCAAAGACTACATCACGTTCCTTTTTAGAAGGCCTACATTTTTCTACATACCTTTCAAAATAAGTAAAACAAAACACCAACACGGAGGCCTTTTTACATTTTAGTTGGTAAGAAGCAAAAGCAAAAAGCAACTTCTCACTAAAAATACGTGTTCTGCCTGCCCAGCTTAATGAAAAGATTTCCTACCAAAACACGGCACAGAAAAGAGCGAGTTAAGATTTTCTGCACCTTCTCTAGAAAGGGCAGGTTACACGTGTAAAACCAATGATCCTTCCCAACCACACGCTACCAGAAGGTATACCTGGGATCCAATATGAATCAGTGAGTTTTGTTTGGTTCTAGGACACAAAACCATGGGCACTTTAAATGAGAAAAATTAAATAGGTTGTAAAAAACCTTACACAAAATCCTTAGGATTTAATAGAAGTCAAGGCTGACTGCCTTTGGAGAGATCATATTTACCAATGTCCAAAATAATGCATCATTCACAAGTTTTAAGAAGAGTTGAGAAGGTTAATTAATAAAATGCTCATTAAATACAATGGAGTATCTAAATTTTCCCTCTATCGATGTAACTCCTTGGCTTCCTTCATGGGGGGTGGGGGCATCTCCTGGTCCTATTTCGCCTCACCCACCCCCCCCCTCCCTCTGTTGGTTAATTCCCTTTTAGAATTCTGTCACTTAAAGCCCTGTAAAAAATCAATAATACCTTTCAAGCACCCCACCCCCTCCCCCAAACAAACAAAGAGAGAGGAGCTGGGCTGTGGGGGGACAGGGCGGGGATGGGCGCCTCTAGCTGACTACAGGAAAGTAAAAGCAGCTCTACCGGGGTGTGAGTGAAGCCCAGAGAGGCACCAGGAGAGCAAGGGCAGCGCGGGCCTGCGCCCGCCGGGACACGCTTCTGGACAAGCGGCCCGCTGCCTCTCCAGGATCTAAGGGACAGAAGGGAGGACAGAAGCCCCCAAGAGCGGCTCTAGGTGCTCTGCACACAGACCTCAACCAAAACCTGACCGTCCCCAGGAGGGGACGATGAGCACATTGAGCTTACCTTCAATTAAACAACAAAGAAATTTAAAAAAAATAAGAAAACAAAAAGCCAAACAGAACAAAACAAAAACCAGAAGCCAAAAAAACACACAAAAAACCAAAAAAAAAAACAAAAAAAGAAAGTGACAGGTTCTCAAAACAACACGGCCTCAGTTCTCATCTACCCTCCACGCAAGCCAGCCAGGCCTGCTCCTGTCCAAGAGCCCGGCGGTCCACCGAGCCCAAGGGGCTGGGCCTGGCGCAGGCGCCCCTCCTCCAGCCCGGGCCGCCAGGGGACATCTACTGAGCCCACCGTGCCCGCCGCCTGCCCGCAGGCCTCCCCACCAGACCGGCTGACTCCTGTGCAGAGCCAGCGTGTTAGAAGAAAGCCTCTGATGGACCCTCGTTAGCCCCCTCCGTGCTACGACTCTCCTCGCCCCACTAGGCTTCCTCTTCCCTCACCCTGGACACCTCTCCCAGCCTCCTTCCAGCAACAAGTCTGTTTGCATAATTAAGCCAAATGCCCTTTTAAAAAAAAAGACCCCTTTGTGCAGGATCTAAGCTGTCACAGTTCAGAAACGCTACAAAACCAAGCATAAACAATTGTTTATCCAGGACCTTTACAAATCATGAGAAGGAAGACCCCCAATTAGAAATAGTTATGATGACGCCCCCCTCCCCTCCCCCCATCCCCTCCCCCACCCTCACCGGTGGGGAGAGGGCACAGACACCTACTTAGCATGCTGCCTGTCCAGAAAGGGGGGAACCCGCAATATTTCTTTTGGAAAAAAGAGACGATATTTCTCCTTAAGAAGAATATCAGTATAAGAATTTAACAAATGTGGCCAGACCAACGGTAGTGCAAGGTTATGCTCAGATAAGTAGCTAAGTGAGCTTCTGTTACAGCATAAGATCAAAACAAGATATAATGCAAAAAGAAAAAGCACCTCAGGTCCACACAGTCACCTACTGTCTTTACCTTATGAGATATACTGATATTTACTGGCTTCTTGAATTTGTGAACAAATAATACACAGGTCAGGATAAATGTATTGACTTACTACCATCTTTATAAAAATCGAATATACACACAAACACATCAACAATTATGGAACTGCATCCATTAAACTTTGATAAGACAACACAAAAGAACTAACAAATAGCTAAGATGCTGCTGAATTGAAAGCATTTCCAATAACATTTAATTTTAAGAGGTCCATATTTACATGGTTGTTAACTGCTCCTGCATACCCTTTAAATGCATGATAAAGAAAGAACAAAGATAATGGTTGCAGCAGATCTTCCAAGAGGGTTCAGCTCACCGTGGTCTGATTTCACTGCGAGAAGTGCACCGAAAATGGAAATAACGTTCCTTTCTAATTCTGCTTCTTTCTTTCCTTTTCCAGTTTCCCTCAAGGAAACCAAGCCTTTGTTCCCAGGCCTGGCTGGCACTAACAGAGCCCGTGCCCAGGGGCCGTGTGCATCAGGAAGCGACCGCGGGAAGCCTTTCTAACCAGTCCTTTCCAGAAGGCCCGGCTCAACTAGGTCTTTCAAGAACACTCTATCAAGAGAAAGCTTACTTCTCTGTGTGTGTAGACTGTTATAGACACACACCTGTTCCGGGTCAGACTCTGTGTGTGTAGACTGTTATAGACACACACCTGTCAGACTCAGACAACACAAAAACAGACCTTAAAGTAGCCATGAGGTCTGCCTTGAACAAAGGTGCCCAAATAGGATTCGTTTCTTACCACTAACTAGAAGAAAGTATGCCTGAATGGCTACTTTTCAGAGACGACATGCAGATTTTTAGTTTCAAAGCCACAACACACTCAGACTATTTCAAAAAGCGGTAAAATTTTGTAAACTCAGCTCACTGCGTCATTAAGTCCTCAGTGATAAAATAAGTCCGTTAACTGTAAGCCTTCCTGCTGCCCAGGGCGGGGAAGTGGTCTGGATCTCTCCTATGTGGTGCCTGCATGCTACCCAACTCACCACTTCAACGCAGCTCTCTGTGGACTGAGCCACATAAGCTACGCTCCTAACCTGCGAACACAACTTTATCTCTACCTGTGAGGACGTGGGCAGCGGCCACTGGCCATCTGGATGCTCCGCTGGAGCACCCGGGGCCAGGCTGGCACACAGCATCACCTCCCAAGGGTTAGGCAGGGGCTTTCTGGAGCACAGGTGGCCAGGCACCTCAGCTCAGGGGGGCGAGGGGGTGTTCTAGCGTGTTCTATGAGTGCCTAGAGTTTCCTGGAACCGAAATCTTCTGAAGAGCAGCCATCAACACCCACCTTCACATTCCAGGCTCACTCCTAGCACATGGTACCACAGTGGAATCAATGCTACAGAAAGTCTCACAGGGTCTGAAATGCTCTTCTCTGGTTCTGGTAACTTAATTTGAAAAAGTAATATAAAATTTCAACTGCGAAAATAAGAAGATACAAGTTCACATGACCTGTGTCTCAGCTCCCAAGAGAAGGCTGAGAAGGAGGGACGCCTTGCTGCAGGGGGCTGCCTGCTCACATCTGGTCCTCGCTGGGCTAACCAGACGCATTAACCGGTGGTAACAGGCTTCTATTTCCCTCAATTCCATTAATAAATCTCACAGGAAATCTTAGGTATAAAATATAGCTAAAAAGTCTGAGTATGCCCCGGTATCATTTGCTCAACTAGTTCAGGTCCACGTTAGAATCAATCCAAAACAGTGAAACTCCTTCATGAGCAGAAATACAATAAGGCACTTTTTTCCACGTTTGCCCAGAATGAATTTTACTACAGATGACTTTAAGGGTAGGAAGCGTCTCTCACCTGAAGGAGCCTACCCAGCATCCCAGAGACACACTGCGTCACACGCCACGGAGAACGACAAGCCAGCGCAAACGTCCCCTCGCTCTCGGGTCCACTGAAGGACAGCGGCAGCCCCTGCTCAAAAGGCCTTCAAAAAAGAAAATCTTAATCACAGGTTGCCCAAGAATGTTCTATATGCGTCACAGAGCCGGTGACATGAATATGCCACTTGGGGCTGCATTTAAAAAGAGGAAAAATCCAAACAGGCCTGCGGAAGCTTCAGGCTGTCCTACCCTCCTCACCTGGCAGGTATGCTACGCAGCTCGCCTAGCAGGGAGCCCAGCGAGGGCTGGAGGTGAGGGCGTCCGGACACCTGCTCTCAGCCTGGCGGCGCGTGACGATGCCCAGCAGCACTTCCGCCGCATTCAGAACGAGTATAAAAAGGGGCGTTCCCTTTGGAACTAGGACTATACAGTTGGCGCTTTTGGAATATTTACAAGAAGCAGAATCGGCCACACAATTGGCACCACTCCCAACCACCCTTATACCCTACTTTCCAGGATATGCAACTGCCAATCATAATCACCCGAATTTTAACCTACGTTTTACAAGAGCCTTTTGAGGGCTTTCTGAGACGGTAAAACAAGTGAAGCTGGTTGAGAAAACGCTCATCTAGCCTGCACTGAAGATAAGTGCAACCATTATCAAATATTCTTTGCTGTGAAAACTACTGAGAATTTGTGACGTTAATGTTCTTTACTCACTCTAAGTCGCTGTAATCAATCATACATAAGATCACGAAGAATGATGTCTACATGCATCGTAAGCACTGTGAAAACATGAGAAAGCGAAACCTGTAGTTCTTTGTGGTGACAAGAGAACGTGAAGCGATCTGACGCCGAGTCGAGTCTGCCGCGTCCCGTAAGGTCAGCTCTTCTGGAATCAGTGCTGCGCCGCTGGCCGCTCCGGACAACAGCCACGCAGGGCTGCGGACGGAGAGACCTAAGCTCGCGGGGCTCTGCGCGGCAGCTCCCGGGAAGAAATTCCACAGCACGTGTGCAGCGTTACGGTCAGGCTCTCCTGCCAGAAATCACTCAACAATGAGGGCCACATTTATGTGGGACAAATCTATCATATGCCTGTGGGGATTTAAAGAAACAATGACCATTAAGCTACCTCTGCACATCAGCAGCCACCTGATCAAGTAGAAGAAAACATGCAGACTGACAGAGAAGATCCACACAAACCCAGGGCTAACCGCCCACGTCCCCTCTCTCTGCACCCCTGGTGCGTCTCCGCAGAGACAGACAGCAGGCGGCAGCACAGACTCCTCCCATCTCCCACCTGTCACCAGGGAATCCAAGGCTACCTGTGGAACTTCTGCTGAAACGCTAATGCATGGGCGGGTTCCTTGAACTTGGCTATGGCTTTCCGCTGCTGGGGAAGCATCTGTAAACTCTGAAGGAAGATGACAGAAATACTTTAGGATCCTGCTGTATAGGGTGTCATATATATATATATCATCAGAGTTAACGCAAAATTTGAGTCCAGGCTGACCCTTAGATCCACTAAAACAAACCAATTCTGCCTCCCTGGCAATTTTCTGTAATCTCTCCAGATAATCTACCCAGCAACAGTGCTTCGCTAAGTCCCTGCCCTGAGCAGCAGTCGTTCGTGTCCTCACAGCTTGGTGTTAAGACCTTCCTTCCATCAGAGGGGGCTTCCCTGGTGGCACAGTGGTTAAGAATCCGCCTGCCAATGCAGGGGACACACGTTCCAGCCCTGGCCTGGGAAGATCCCACATGCCGCGGAGCAGCTAAGCCCGTGCACCGCAACTACTGAGCCTGTGCTCTAGAGCCCGTGAGCCACAACTACTGAGCCCACGTGCCACAACTACTGAAGCCCGCGCACCTAGAGCCCGTGCTCCGCAACAAGAGAAGCCACCGCAACGAGAAGCCCCCGCTCGCCGCAACTAGAGAAAGCCTGCGCGCAGCAACGAAGACCCAACACAGCCAAAAATAATATATATATATAGACCTTCCATCATCTGCCCCGTCAGCCACCCAATCTTCTCTCTAAACCTTCTTGGGGAGGCCCAGGACAGGTGTCCTTGGAGAGTTACTTTCTGCTTTCACGTCTTCCTGTCAGGCGATTTTCCACAGGGCCCTCAGTCAGCTTTTTAAAAGCACAATAATACTCCTCATACAGGAGGAACTGCTGTAAGGCAACGGGACCCCACGGTCGGAGTGGGTAGTTATCTCCTAATTACCACTGGGGTAAATTAAGGGTTTCATATATGTAGGAGGGCCACAGTGAGGGGCAGCTGTGTCTGTGGCAGCCATCAGCACAATTTGGTCACAGTCTGTGCTTTAAAAAGTCTGAGAGAAGTGGCGTCTTAAATTAAACCTTTAGGGGACTTCCCTGGAGGTCCAGTGGTTAAGCCTTCGCCTTCCAACGCAGCGGGTGCGGGTTTGAGCCTTGGTCGGGGAGCTAAGATCCCACATGCCTCGCGGCCAAAAAAAACAAAACATAGAAGCAATACTGTAAGAAATTCAATGAAGACTTTAAAAATGGTCCACATCAAAAAAACCTTAAAAGAAAAAAATTAAATCTTTAGGATTTGAAACAACCATTCCTGAGGCTACTGTTTGCAGTAAAAACCAAGTGAGTTCCCGAAGAAGATGGATCCATCAAGTGAAGAGACTGGTGCAGGGACAGTGAACTTACACCTGGTCCCCCCTCACACTTGCCCTGAGGACAAGGGGCAGCTCTGTGCATCCCTGAGGCCTGGGGACGTAGGATCCTAGGATTTGGGAGGGATGCGCCAGAGGAGAATTCGGATTTCTCAGCCGGTCCCACTCTCCGGAGTCTGTTCCTTCTCAAGCATTTTGGTGACTTGCCATGTGTGTCTGGGGCAATGAGCAAAGTGGCAGGGGGGCCTTGCTGCCACGGGGACACAGCCTGAGGAAGTAGCACAGGACTCAGTGGCGGGGAACCGTCTGCTGTGTCTGGGCTCTGTCCAGTGACGTTTAACAGCCAGAAAAAATAACTAATGGTAACACACAACCCTTTAGAAGTGTTTACACACGTGGCTGTTTCATTTTAAAGCATTTGTTCAAAGACCTACAACAAAAGCACGTAGCCAAAATATCAGTTCCTTGAAATACGTTCAAAAAAGGTATACTGTAGGGCTTCCCTGGTGGCGCAGTGGTTCAGAGTCCGCCCGCCGATGCAGGGGACACGGGTTCGTGCCCCGGTCCGGGAAGATCCCACATGCCGCGGAGCGGCTGGGCCCGTGAGCCATGGCCACTGAGCCTGCACGTCTGGAGCCCGTGCTCCGCAACGGGAGAAAAAAAAAAAAAAAAAACAGGTATACTGTATATGAAATAAGCACTCTCCATTTTAGTAAACACAGAACTCCCATGAGTAAAACATGACCAGGAGAGCGCTAAAAAAATATTCTTTCCAAAAAGTTGCTTTTCAGTGCTTCACACAGAAATAAACAGGTTCAAGTCTCCACATTACATGGCACTATGGTTGACACACTGGCTCCCCTCGGAGGAGCAGTCAGATAGTCTGGGGCACATCACCAATCACAGCCGGACCAGTGCAAGGACCAGGCCCGGAGGTGACAGAGGCAGCCACTAGGCAGCAGTGAGCTCCGTCTGCCTGGTTTTCTGAAACCAGTTTAGCAGATACTAGAGTTTTCCTCTTCTTTCAGATATAAAAACCAGATGCAGATTTTTCTTGATGATTTCACTTATCATTAAGTTAACTGGACAAGTAAAGCTCAGCAACTTGGTCTTTAATTAATGCCATCAATTAATTTCTCTTGGATACACTGTCAGCATGTGGCTTTTCTGGCCTCTCAAATTCCACTTTAGTTACTTGACAAAGACCTGTTTTCTCTGCCAGCCCCCGCTTTCGGCTCACGCCCACTCTGTGCCTTATCCTTGAACAATCTCCAGTCGCTGAAGCTCTTCTGGAACTGCTCCTGAAGAGAAAATGCAAGAGGAAATACCGTGCTGTCCTGTCACCACCAGAGGAGGCCAGAGAAGAATGTGGGTAAGAGCCAGCTTCAAGCCACAAGTCCAACCCAAGCACTGCAGCAGAACCTCCCGCCAGGCCCTGCTTTCTGATTCCATCTCAGGCGCCTCAGGCACCCTTTTCCTCTTCCGGCCACGTGGCCGCAGTGCTCGAGGGCGCTGGGGTGTAGGCACAGCTTCATTTCTTCATGAACTGCTGCCAGCACTGTGGCAGTTCTTACCACAAGACTTAGAAGAACTTAACCTAAACTTATTTTGTCCAAAACTACAAAAATCGCTCAATTAGGAACAGACAAGAAAAAACTAACTTGTTATGATATCACAAATGATTATCCACACTCTACAATTCACAGATGGAATCTGGATTTTGAAAATACTACGCTCTTCTTCTGAGAAAAAGCATGTCTAGATGTCATCTCCTCTGGGTGATTTCACAATGTGGAATGAAGGCATGAAGCTTCCTCTTTACCATTTACCAATTTATAAGGTAAGAGGTAAGAAGATAGCTTATCTGTATCTAAGTGGTTTAAAGCTCAATTTGATTGAGAAGGTATCAATCAAGAGAGCATAAACTTTCAATGAAATTCTTTTTTTTTTAACATTTATTTACTTATTTATTGGCTGCGTCAGGTCTTAGTTGCGGCATGCAGGATCGGTTCTCAATGGTCAACAAAAGTAATAAGAACACTGTCTTAAAATTTGTTTTCTGTCTGTTCCCCTTTATTGACATTTTTGCACCCTTTTCCAAAAAACAAAACCTATTTTCAGATATAACATGGAATTGCTAAAACTGTCAACATTCAACCATTTCTGACCTACCAAAACGACAAGTATTAGCGATCACTTTATTGGGAAGAGAGGAAAAGACACTGTCCACTAATAAGATAAAAATTTATTATGATCACCAGCTTCTACTTTGAAAATATGTGCTTCTGCTAATCAGTAGCCCATTTCCAAATAATTAAACACTTCAATTCACCCAGAATGAACAAAGAGTTAAACTTTGTCTCCAGTCTACACACTCACTCTGACCCCGCCCCATCTCCCCCACAAATAAGGTACTGGCCCTTGGAGAGACAGGCTAACTTGCCCACGCCCACCCTGATATAATTCTCATTTTTCAGAGACAAGACATCTGCAGACAATTTGAGAATAACTGTGCTACTATAAGTAGCAAAATACCAGTTAAAATACTCCTTTAGTTGGCCGCTTCCTTTGTTTTATTCAGCCATCCCATTCAGGGCCATCTGACTGAACTGCCACAAGGCACTACATTAACAGTAGAAAAACTGTGACAACCTACAATTTAAAGTTCAGAAAAATGTCCATGCTGTTCAGAACCTTGGCCGTTTTTTCCCTGATTAGGAAAAGTTCTTCCTCTTTCTAGAAAGAGCTTGTGTTCATGTCCATGTATATACTAATAAATTACAATATTATGGGGATTCTTTTTTTTTTTTAACATCTTTATTGGAGTATAATTGCTTTACACTGTTGTGTTAGTTTCTGCTTTATGACAAAGTGAATCAGCTGTACATATACTTATATCCCCATATGAATGTTAAGGGGGTTCTGAAATGACTCTGCAGTCCTGAAAATCAATTAAACTACTCTCCCACTCTGGCCAACAGTTCCCAGCACCTTCAGGAATCAACCTAAAGCCAAAAATGATATGATATTAGTTGTTTTAAACAAGTGAAATTGCTCAAACAAGAGCCCCACTGATCAGTCATTAGAAATCTACTCTCTCGGGCTCCACCCCAGACCTGATAAGACATCCTGGGTTGGGCCCAGCCTCCAGGGACAGCTTGGGAACCATCGAGGGACACGCACTAGGTCCTCCTTTCTCACGCAATGGCACCTGCGCATGGTGGTGGCAGCTGGCCTACGCCCATTAAATCTTTTCTTCTCCAGCCTCGCAGTCGGGCTCCTCAAGCCAGTCCTCGGGCAGCACAGCGCAGGACCCCTTCATTCCGGACCCTTTCTGCACGCAGCCCACCCGACCCTCTGGCTGGTGACGGGGCAGCATCTCAGGCCGCTTCTCGAGGAAATCGACGACTCCTCCCGTGCCTGTTCATATTGAACGAATCATCGCAGCGTGTGGTCTTTTTTGATGCTGATTCTGTTTTTCCCTCGGGTCCTGTGTTGGGGCTTCTTGTGTCCACGGCGTAAGTGCTGTTCTTTCTGCTCTGATACAGTTTAAAGACATTCTGAGGCCCTCCTCTTCCACACTCACCTTCATCTTGTACAAATGTGCCCTGCAGATAAGAGCCCGTGTCTTATCACATGGTCTGCCTGGAATCCTCTTTTTTCTTTTGGGATTATTTACAACAGTGTTTTCAGAACTTTGTGTGGGAGTCTCCAATTAACAGTCTGTCCCATTACGGTTTCAGATCGTGCGGCCATGCCTGTATTTTCTTTAAACCTCATGACGTCGGTTTTCAGAAAGTCTACATTTGACTATGCCTGGTGTTTTCCTTCCCAAACATCCTGAACTTCAAAATGACTGAACTGCTTTCACTGAGATCCCAGCTTTCTCCACATCACCCACCAGACATCCCTGGTCAGTCAGAACCAGACGCAAAGAAGGTAAGATGGTCTCATCCCAGAAGGCGCTATGTTCTAAAGTGACCCCAACTTACACGACTGTTCAAAAGGGCTCCCCCTCACTGGGCGGCCCAAGATACCCACCAGAATGAGAACTTTCCAAGTGTCTGGTTACCTGGAACTACCGCGTTGGGAGCTTGGCAAACCTGGTGGGTCCCGGACGGCCTCTCCTCAGCAGCCTGAAGTGAACCCCCCAGAGGACTCTGCTCTGGGACAACAGGCCGCCTTTCGAGAGCACACGCTTTCCCCCTCAATGGCATCTGGAGGCCTCCATGTTTCTTCCACTCCCCCTTCCGGGTGACGTCAGGGAACGGTGAAAGAGGTAGGAGACAGCGCTTGCAAGCTTGTGTGGTTCGTGAGACTCACGGAGGTGAAGTGCTTGGTTGGGAAGCTGCGCACCAATAAACGGCAGACCCGGCACCGAAACCGAAGCCCTCTCTCAAAGCCCGACACTTGCTGCTGCACTGCTGCGTCCCGGAGGGCCCGGCAGCTTCGAGAATGAGCCGCCATGGCCACTCCGGTCACTCGGGCTCTCGGTTTAGCGACTACCTTCCAGGGTTGTTGGGGAGATCAGGAAAGAAGCCGGGGAAAAGTGAACAGCACAGTGCCAGGCACGTGTTGGCCTAATCTAAGCCTCGGCCGTTGTTACTGCCGTTGCTCATGGCCAGCGCCCGCCTTTTTATTTTAGGAAAATACTTTTATTTTTACACCGTGGCATTTCATTTCTCTATAGGATAACACAGTTTTCTTCTTAACAGTTTTAGGTAAAATCCCTCAAACAGGGAAATAAGGATAACTAAGCAAAGGGGCTCAGAAGTTATAACTACCTTACTTCCTGACCCTAAGAGTTAACTTGGCTTCAGTCTTCCGGAACGCAGCAGGAGGCCGCTCCGGGGGAACATGTGCCGGTCACCGGAGGGGCACCTGCGTGAGACCCACCTGTCTGTGGAGCCCCCATGCCCCGCGCAAGTCAGCCTCCCGGAGCCCCATGTGCACCCAGCCGGCCCCTCTCTTCCCTAAGAGCAAGACCCCCCCAGTGTCCGGGCAGAACCTTCTTCCTGACTCTTTCCGTATCACTGCTGGAGAGCACCAGCGGGCTTATTCTCACTGCGCCGTCTCACCTGAAACTGTCAAACACGCCGTGACACCTCCTGTGCCACTTCCACCACTGGTCAGAATATTCTACAAGATTCTACCATTTGTCCTTATTCTCTCAGGGAGACTACAGACAAATGCCTTTAAAAAGGACTCTTTAGAGAGGCTTATGAGAACAGGTTAAGGGGACAGCACACTGACCGGGGAGTGACGCCGCCACAGAAAAGCAGCAGAGCTGACGTGCTGTTACTGCCGTTCCCATAATTAAAGGCCCAAAGGAACGGGCCTTCGTGGTCCAGACACCACCTCTTGCTGTTACACTAAGTGAACGCCAGGTGGCACCACAGCCCAGCCCACCAGAGGCTTGACACGTTTCTTCCTCAGCCAGCGCAGCGGGGCGGGAGGCCTGGGACCCCTAACCCTCCCTCTGAAGTGTACTTATACTTAAACCACAGTGGAGTCTTGTTATAAACGCCTTTAAAAAATTTATACCTAGCAATATTATTCTTTAGCTATCTAATGCTGGCAGAAGCTTGCTATTGACAGATCAGTTTGTTTCCGGACGCACAGGCTCAGCGGCCATGGCTCACGGGCCCAGCCGCTCCGCGGCATGTGGGATCCTCCCGGACTGGGGCACGAACCCACGTCCCCTGCATAGGCAGGCGGACTCTCGACCACTGCGCCACCAGGGAATCCCTGTTTGTTTTTAAATTGAGTAACTCAGCACTTTGTGAATGCAGTGTTTAAAAATCTATAAACTCTCCCTCAAAACCATTCCACGGAACTAAGCAAGACTGGCAAGAAATGAGAGCTCTGCTTTTTGCTCCCTGGGATGGACGAACATGCCCTACTGAGGAAGTGCTATATTCATCCATCACCCTCGGGGATTTTTTACGGTGGCATTTTCAGGGTACCTGATGTAACTCAGAAAACACCACTCTCATTCTCCTATCTTCCTCTCCCTTTCTAGTTAAGAGAAGCCCTTAAAACACTTGGCATTGTTTTTGTCTGACTTTAAGTGCCCTCAGTTAAACTTTACTTAACACAACGATCTCTAATCCTTCTTTCCAGAACAGGAGAAAAAAAAATTAAAAAGGCAAATGGGAGGAAAGATGGCCCCCAAAATGCAGAAACTCAAAATTCAGTTTTTAAGATGGATAAAACCAAGGTTCGGTGTTCTAGCAGTGGCTCCAAGCTAACTTTTGCAGGGCAGTCGACCTCACGCAGTGCTGTAAGCAGCAAGAGCACTGCCCTTCACACTTCTTGAAAACTGAATCACATTCAAGGATGCTCAAGAGAATTATCAAGACTACGTAGGAAGAAGCAAAGCCCAGAAAACGAGCAGGTCACATGTGGAAAGCAACAGTGCTACCACTTCCCACCCAAACACAGACACCAGGAACACAAGGCCTCAGAGAACAGACTGGACTAGGCCCCGGGTCTTTAACTCCAGGCTCCCTGGTGAACTGTGATTTGACCCCAAGTTTTCAACCGCCATTTGTTTGAGAATCCACTCAGGATAACCATATTTTAATTTATCGTAATTTAACCATATTTTAATGCATCGTAAGTTCTCTAATGCCAGTTCTGTTCCTGCAAATTAATCCGTGTTATGACGGACTCTCCTTGGCCATGAGCTTAATGCCTCTTGATGACTGACAAGCCGCTCCTGACCACACAGCTGGGAAACTGACCCTCCTAAAAACAGAAGCCACAGCCTCTGGTTAACGTTTCACTATTACATACACATGAAAACTAAGCTTAACCATCTCTGAGAATCCAAGGATGAAGGCAGAGGTAGTTACACCTAAACAACGAAACCGTCTCGGAAGGGCTTCCATCTGCGCCTCACTCTTGTCAACACTCAGTGGTAGACGAAGGCTTAAAATACACTAAAAATTAATGTATTGTACTTAATGTAATTAATGTAATGTACTTGTGTCAACTCTGTTTCCCCATGAAGCAAGAGACCTTAAAAGAAAGCACTCTGTGCTTTCTGTGTTCTTTTTTTTTTTTTGGCCATGCTGCTTTCGGGACCTTAGTTCTCCCCGACCAGGAATCAAACCTGTGCCCCCTGCAGTGCAACCACTGGACCGCCAGGGAAGTCCCCTTTCTGTGCACTTTTTACTCAGAAATCTAACATTCACACTCCACGTCCTACGATTTGCATCAAACATCCTTCCCAAGTGCTCCAGCCTCAGACATGGATCCTGGCACAGCATGGAGGGGTGTGCTGCTCGGCGGGGGGGGGCGCGCAGGGGCGGGCGGGAGGCGGGGAGCTGGCAGGAAAGGCCAGAGTCGGGGACTACAGACACGCTGCTCAAGGAAAACCAGGTCTACCCACTGCGCTGGTTTACCTCCAGGGCCCTAGAGGCTGGAGCAGTCAGGGATTTCAGTGGCAATTTTTGTTTACAACACAACTGGAGACCTATCTGCGGCCAGCTCGGCAGAGATCTTCACGCATTTAGAATTAGCCAGTTTAAAAATTAAGAGACCGGGCTTCCCTGGTGGCACAGTGGTTGAGAGTCCGCCTGCCGATGCAGGAGACACGGGTTCGTGCCCCGGTCCAGGAGGATCCCGCATGCCGCGGAGTGGCTGGGCCCGTGAGCCATGGCCGCTGAGCCTGCAAGTCCGGAGCCTGTGCTCCGCAACGGGAGAGGCCACAACAGTGAGAGGCCCGCGTAACACAAAAAATAAAAAAATTAAAATTAAAAAAATAAAAAAAAAATTAAGAGACCAAAATATAGTCCACATTATTTCACATTTGTAAAGTCTAAAGCAAGTTCCACAGGTGTTAACATGTGAGGCTATTTCTGAAAATTAAGCTCAAAAGGCTAAATACTTTAAAATGTTAAAACTGTTACACACAAAACAAGTGTGTGATAGAGCAAAAAGATTGTGTGTTTGGGTGCATATAAGAACTTTAGGATAATATGAGGATTTCAAAGGATAATCTGTTCAGCTAGAATAAATACTTCATAACGTTTCTGAGCACCTGATAATTTCCAAATAATCTAACCCTAAGGCAAAAGTTCTGGCATCAAGTGTGCACAGCAGATAAAATATTTGTCTTTCTTCTCAAGAGTACTGTTTTAACATGAAGTAACCAACACAAAGGGATTTTAAATGAAGAAATAACCGAGTCTTGGGAAGGACAAAGGGCACAGAAAGAACAGGCCCCAGGTGACCCACCTGAATGGGTCCTACTGACATCAGCAGGCTCTTCAGTTGGGCGTCAGTAGTGGATGAAGAAAGCCCTTCAACAGACACGACACAGGGCTGAGGCTTGCACTCCACCACCCGGAGATTCTGCTTGTTCGGCATCAGGCGGCCCCGGCCCATCGCACCTGCCATTCCCCGGCCTCTCCCGTGCATGATGACCTGGCAACAACAAAAGGAACTATTCAAGGTTGAAGCTTGGCGTTTTTTTCACAGCTACTAAGATACAAAAGTGAACAGATCAGAATCCATTAAAATATACCGTGAGCGACAGGACTTTCTGTAGTTTTTATCCACTATCAGAAAAGGGTTTAATGTCTAAATAAGACCACAATACCCAGCAAACTGGAGTGAAAGAAAAGGAAGGAAAAGGAGGCAGCAAAGTCTGCACCTATCTTGGTGCCGAGCATGGTACTAAGGTAGGCACTTTCTGTGCTACCATCATCCTGTAGACGAAGCAGCAGGATCACAGGGGTTCAGAAACTTGCCGCGAGTAACACAAAGATCTGGGTCCAGCCCTTAACGGCCCCGGAGCCCAAATTTCTCCCACTGTACCCCAGGCAAACCCAGCAGGGACCAGGGGACTGTGCATGATGCTCCCCACAGCCGCCTCCCTGTCACTGCAAGCCACAACACTATGTACCCTGGAGGGCAGATTCTGCAGCAGGAGTCTCCCACCGGCTGCACCACTGCACATTACACTCCTCTGCAGGGCTTTCAAAACAAAACCAAAAACCCAAACTACAACGACTGAGTGCCCCTGTCCCCCACCGAAATTACAACATCACTGGCCTAGGGTAGGGCCCAGACCTTAGCATTTTTTAAAGCCGTCCAGGGCTCAAAACCACTGTTCTGGAATCTTTTAAACAAGAAGGAACCGCTGAGCTTTCCAGTCTTTTCTAATCCGGAAATTAGATAAAGCGCCAGCACCCCCAAGACCAGGACAGCAGTGAAACGCAGACATGGATGTGACTGGGCTCACTGGGTTTTCCAGACGTCCTGCCCAATTCTGCCCGAGAGTCGGGGTAGAAAGAGCCAAAAATGACCTCCCGTCCCATCACAGAGAAGGGCAGAGAGGAAAGCAGACAGAAATCAGAATGGAACCTTAGTACATGAATGGGTACCACACAAAGGGAAACTGCGAAAAAAACGCAACACTTCAGAACATTCCACAGAAGGTGACACAACTACTCCTGTGAAGTGAGTTCCTGGAGTGCAAAAGGGTATTTCAAGAGAAGTCACATGGGAAAACACCATCAAAAAGTGCAAGTTTCACTGCCTGCAAACCAGCAGTAAATAACTATTCTTGTGTTCTGTAACATTAATAACAACATTCTCTACCGAGTGCTGGCTCACATTCCAGGCACCGTGTATCTTCTTATAAAACCCTCGCAAGAGCCCAAATAAGCCAGGAAAGATTACTGTCCTCACTTTTATAGGAAAGTAACCTGAGGCTGAGGATGAAGAAACACGAGTGCTTTATCTATGTGTACAAGAGACTATTGGGGGGGGGGGG